TTTGGACACCCCTTGACCACTACCCTCAATAATTGCACATTTCAATAAATGAAATAATTTAGAATAAAGCCGAGCAATATTCTTCTTTAACTATTAGTACATTGACAGTTAGGGTGGATGAGGTGCGCAGAAAGGTTTTTCATTTTTTTAGCTTACTAGATTTTTCCAGAGAGTTGTTTCAAAAGGAATTTGTGTAAGAAATGTTAACTTGCAGTGTTATCAGGCCAAGTCCTCTTCTGCAGTTCAGATAGACCTGTCAACACTGCAGAAGTCTCTGTAGTCAAATACAAATCCCAATGAAGAACTATTAAACAAAGACCATACCTTAAGTATTTACTGATGACATGCAATGAAATCAAGCAAGCAGTTACAGGACTCCATTTACATTTAGAGCATTCAGAAAGAGACTGTTGCAGTTCAGTTGGGGTACAGGACTGGAATTTCACAAAACACTTGTGAATAGTTAACATCCTCTCCCCACTTGACTCGACGTGCAAAGTAACAGTTTCAAAACAATGCATTTAGGTCATTCTTTGTACAAACAAAATGCTAAGAGCAGAACTGATTTTCAGAGTTGCTGAACACCCACAAACTCATGTCAACAAAATATACAGGTACATCTTGCAATAAGCAGTCATTTTGTTTTCCTGCATATCCAGGTTCAGAAAAACAATTCCGTAAGAACTCTTTGATCACAATGAAACCAATTCTTCCACAGTGCTTTTCACCCCACTAGGTTAGGAAAGGCACACCTTCTATTACCTTTTCTAAGAGCTAACATTTTTGTTTTAATACACGCCAATATGGTTTGGGTCTGAGCCATAACGACATCTTTAGGCTATGACATTTGATGAAAGGCACGCACTTAAACCATGGAAACATATGAGGAAAGCACAGTTTTGACATTCTCAAGCATTTGGATGTTTTTATGTCAAGGGTCTTTTTTGCAGGTTATATTCATTTCATGAGAACAAGCAAGAATGACACACCAGATTTGCTTTGGAGATACGTGTAAGTGCACATCAGTTCTGGATGAGAACAGGTCTGCAAGTCTGTCCGTAAGAAAAAAAAAAAGATTCTTACAAATACCAGTCCTGCCTCAAACCATAGAGATAAAAGCAGCAGACCTACACAGACTGTATGCGTGCGTGTGCACAATGAGTCAAATGGAACTGAAGATACCTAAGAAGTCACCCTGCAGCACTAAGCTTTGTAACTGCAAGTCTCTGGTGACTTTCTATGCATTCTCCTTTGCCCTTTCAGTTTCACAAAGAAGCTGTCAGGTACTCAGCAAGGAAACATTCAGCAAGGAAATACGGACATCACTGGCAGTGAGTTACTGTGAAGACACCAGTTAGCATTTCAGAGATGGCAGGGAGAGAACAGGTAATACCTCAGCAAGGAATTACTGCTGTACCACTGAATTCTATTAAACTCAATAAGCAACAAGAAGTTAGGCCTGAGGCTGAAGAAAGGTTAATGGATATGACTTCTCTTCCCAAAAGGCTCAGCTTCAGTGTTTTCCGACAATCTCAGATTCTGAATTCCAGTAAACTGCATTTTAGAAAAAATCAAAAAATAGCCCTGAGACTAAACACACTTTTTAGAGCTGCTATTACTTTACAAAAATCAAACACAGCAATTATTTACTTCCACAGTATACAGTATTTAATTTTCAATCCCTTTTTTCCTCACTTGGGATACATACGTGCAACCAAGAATTTCTTTCCAAGATACATGTACTCAAACATTATCTGTTACTTTTCCAAGTATTTAAATTTGTTGCTACAGGATTATGGCACCAAGCGAGGAAAGAATAGCTGAAGTAGGTCAAACTTTAACAAAGAAGTCCTCTTCCATTGTGCCTTGAGTTTTTAAAAAAAGTCATAGCTGCCACTATGGACCTTCATTACAACAATGACCTCCTTCCTTGTGACTTACGTAGAATTTACAACTGGAGGAACACCATTTAGTGCATCTGAAAATCAACTGTCAGCATTACTGAACACTGCCACCAGCCTTTAAGTGTGGCTAGAAGTGTAAAATACCAAGAAAACAAGAGTATCAAGTGTGTCAAGTTGTGCATAAAAATAGACCTTTAATATTTCTTAAGCTACAAAGTAGGCAATCAAAGAACTGACTAGGTCTATGCATAGTTAAGATTCAAAATATGCCAGAAGAACTTGGAACTCTTTCAGTAGAACTCTGCTTGAGTAATGCATGGGTCAATCCTACAAAAAACTGAATATCCCACTCTATACATAAAAGAATTTTAAAAAAGCTCCATGCACTCTCAAAGCTATTTTGAAATTGATTTAAATACTTTATCTAAACAGCTCTGCTATGGCACAAGACAGCACATGAAAAGTTTAAGGCTAATTTTTGTATGCACACATGTAAAAGCTGGTCTCGGAGCAAGAGCTGTCATATTTTTTTTAACTCTGAGTCTTCAGTGTGGATTCATAATAAAGCAGAGCTGCCACGGCAACAGTAGAGTTGTCCTGCATATAAAAAAGACTGAATGTTGTCCTGAACACAATTTGTTTTTATAAAAAGCAAAAACCTCACACATTTACATTTGGTTTTTATCAGAGCAGCTCACTAATTTGTACAGTACATTGTCCAATAACATACAACATAAACTACCAAAGAGATGCTCAAGTACTACAACAACAGGTGCAAAAGAAAGCCCTACGGTAAGAAAGCCCACTGCTATTTCGGAGAGTCACTCTGTGATGAAAACAAACATCAGAATGCAGTTTTGGTGAAGTCAGTTAAGTCTCAAGGCTGTAATAAAGGCTATTTGTTAACTTTAGCCCTTTGGTTCTTAACATTCAGTTAAGATCTCCTGATAAAGCACTAGGCAGTTTGGCATTGATGGAGAAGCTCTTTACATGCTACTGTTACAGAAACAGAAAACAGACTTACAAGCACTTCCTTCACCTGAATGATCTGATCTTCCATGAATCCAGTCATACCAGGTTTAAACAAACCTATCTAAAGCAGTAAATTTTAGACTTCAAATTGCACTGTAACTGTGTCAGAAGAAACTAATTAAAACCCAAAATCTAGAAAAGAATTATCAACTGGCTAAATTACACAAATCTGATGCACAAAGCTGCTTATTTTAAAACTCTGTCCCTCAACAACTTCTTCAGTGTAAATCAGAGCTGTTACTTCAAAACAGAGTTCTTTAGTACCATCTGCACATTCTATCTATTTTGATGGGAAGAAAGATAGTAAACCAACTTCTGCTTGTTTGCTAATTTAACAGGTGTAGTATTTTAATACTTCCTGGTGCATTTTTCCTTTGCTGAATTTTTGCATAACATTTTAAAAGGGGGCTCATTATACTATGAACACAGGACTCGCACGTGCTAGTGTGATTTACACTTACTTGCTGAGTAAAGTACACTGCTATCATGGTTATTTATGTAGAATTTAAAGGACCAGTAAATGTGCATCAAAACTATGACTGTTATCTGCACAGGTATGCAGGTTTGTTTTTTCTTCTGCCAAGTGAAATGTTCGCAACCAAATTTAGCGTATGGAGCACTGAACAAAACTGTTACATTTGCAGTATCATCTTTAAACAGATGCAGTTATGAGGGGACCTGAGTATGCAACTGATCCATGGAAGCTATGTATATGCAAGCCAGTGAGAACTGCATGTGTAACAGACCAATATTCAGACCCAGAGACTGTCCACGATGACACTTACTTTGAAATTACTGAATCTAACTTTGTAAAAGAGGTACAAGGTCAACTTGTTTTATAAGTTGATACAACACTGGTATTCAGGTCACTGCAGTTTTTTGCATATCTATATTGTATTGACTTATACCCAAGTAATGCACTCCAGGAACACATGAGAAACCTCACTGAAGTTCCTGAACAGTTTCCGTTTGCAATTGCCTGTCCCCCTCATTTTCATCTTCTATTATAATTTCAAAGGAACCATAAACTACTGTGTATCAGGACAGACCAAGTATCAAAAAATCTTCTGTTTTACATGCCAGCCTAAGCTGCTAGTCAAAAAGGGAGAATGTATCTGCTGCTGTAAACTTCTGTGTAACAGATACCATGCCTGACAAACCATCACCTTCAACAGACACACAAAACACCACTATGACAAAAGGGAGGAAATCATGCACAGATATTTCAGTATTATGTGGCCAGGGTCTATAATACAGTGATGAGTCACATCAGAGGAAATTTGTGCTAAGACTGATTAATGATTCAGGCTGACTAACTCCATAAGTAGCCAAGCAAGCCTGTAAGAGGCAAGTGGCATATTTTCTGGAAGAAAGAATACCAAGTAAGAGGATAACATGTTTTTTCCCTGCCCCTGCACAAAAATCCTACAGACAAATAGAACAATACTGGGGCAAGTGCTTTAAAATGCAATTTTCCAGCCACTGGTGGGAATTCTGTGAAGGAAGGAGTTTTAAGAATATGACTTACCTGAAGCACAAACTTCCAATATAAAAAAAGAAATGTACGCTATATACTAACACTGCTTTTTAGATACTCTTCTGTTTTAAAAGTTTCAAACGTATTAACTTGTCTTATTTTGTTTAGGGCTGAGGCTGTTCAGCAAGGTCACATAATTTGAGACTGCTGAAATACTTCAGCAATCCTTTGGTCCCAGCAGCTGTAAAACAGCCAAGTAAAAAAGAACCTTCTCTACACACACACACAAAAAAAAAAAGGCGGGGGGGGTATCGTCACCAGGAAAGTGTCTTCTAAATACCATCTGCTATGCACCAGAAAAGGCAAATTTTTGTTACAAAAAACACATTTTCATACAAAAGACATCTTGTAAAACCATCTGATTGCCCCTCCCTCTGCAGATTACAATGGTAAATGGGATCAGCTGGTTGGTCTTGAGATTTTTGTCTTAATGGGAAAAAAGTCAAAGGACACACAGCATCACAACAACTGGTCCTTTAAATGGCAAAGGATTATGACAGTCTTTGTTTTCACCAGTGTTTAAAAAAGCAGGAGAGAAACAGAACCAGAGTCTTCATAAGCAGAAAGTGCAACAGAGTATCAGCTGCTGCATCCTCCTGAACGTCTCAATTTGCTACCAAACAGTCATTTACAGAAACAATTCAATTATGACAGTGCCGTAACTTGTTAAAACAATGCAAATAGTGTGATCAGAAAGGTCCAGTCAACTGGTTCCAATTTTTTCCCAGTAGTTGCCGAGAAAAATATCAAGACAATCTAAGTCTATCCTTCAGCTTCCTCAATATGTCCCGATTGCTGGAGTATAGAGGTCTGTGGTATTACTGTACTTGTTCCACGAGAGATCCTGTCTTGATCTGTGTTTGTAGACAAGGAGGCCATAGAAATGGGCTGTAACAAACTGGGCGTCATGCTGGAGGAGACAGTCAGGCTGTGTGTAGTGCCCTTAAGTGTGAGATCCTGTGTGGGAAGAAGTGGCTTGAGGATGCTGACAAGACAGAAAGCAGAGCCACTTTTAGGAATAAAATTCACTTTGTTCTTGTCAGGGCAGTAGAAGGCTGGAATTTCATGCAATGGCTTTGGCCTAGAAATAAAATACACACAATAGTTTTAAAATTACATTGAACAATCAAATTCTGTCAATGGCAGGTACATATTGCTGAACACATCACCAGAGACAAGTTGAGGTTTAAACTTGAAGTATTTCAGCTACTCAATAATGCCTTAATGACACGCGCACCACATGGCAAATGGCAAGATGGTTTAAACTGCTTGTTTACATATACTATGAGATAAACAGCATGTTCCTAGGGCAGGCTGTCTCCAAACCCAAGGAAGACACTAACTTCATGTTGCAGATCACAAACCCTGTCCATGAATTGACATATCCAACATACGAGGACGTATTCTCAATCATGTTCTCTAGAAACTTTCACAACCCAACAAGTTCTGTCCCACATACAGACACTCTTTATAAAGTAAACCTTGTGAAAGAAAGCTGGCGTAGCACTGTTCCTAATATTGCATATCTTAGAGCTGTTCATGATCATAGGGGAATCCCCTTTTCTAAACTTCTGCCTCCTTTGCATGTTCACCTGAGTGTGGCCTGAATCTCTAAAAGATGAGCCCATCTTAAAAACTCAATGCAGAGAGTAAAATGTAGTATTCCCAAAGTGACATTCATGATCAAGTACCTAGAACCTGGGAAGGAAGTGTGGAACACACATTTAGATCCTGACTTGCAGTTTTGCCATCTCAGCATACAATTCAACCAACTCAGAGATATGATTACTGGATGTGCCAGTCAAGCTGTGACAATATATTAACCGACACACCTACATTACAGCTTCTTATTACATCTCTCTGTACCTGATTATTTGAGTTCCTCCCCCACTATCTGCCACATAAGACAGTACTCTCAAGTTATGCTGGTTTTTTAAAAAAAAAGTCTCTTAAGATTTTGATTTTAACACAAAATTCCAAAAATAAAATACATACATCTATATACTGGTATATAGTCACACAAAACAAAGATTAGACTGTTAGCATAGTTTTAGCAACTGGACTAATAATTTTGATCTGATACAAAAATCAATAAACCAATGGGTAACTGAATGTTATTTCTCATGTAGTAAAGATCAACTTACAAGCTTTCCTCAAAGACTTTCACCTTTTCACAGCCCTCTGGAGGTTCACGCTTGAACATGTAGCTGTTGTTGGGTTTTGGTGAGGTAGCATATTTTGGCAAGGGAGAATTATTCCCATTCTCTGCAGAAACAGAGTATCTCATTACTTAAATCTGTCACACTATAAAAAAACCCAGTAACTATCTTTAAATGCCCCCCAAATTGAAACCCACTTCATTACCAATGTTATAAAATTAAGAAACATTTTCATTTGCTTCCAAGTCTTCATTTGCAAATAAGCTTTGTTATCTCAATCCCTTTCCTCCTTTCTATTTCTCCTTATATCATTTTCAGGCTCCTTTGCAATCTCTGTTCATTCCTGGATGCTTTCAGTTTTTAACTGCAAACCTGAATCTACGGTCCTGTGCCATCACCATCTAGCCAAAAGAAATGGGCAAAAGCCATATTCCTTAAAAACCAGAACAGGTTTATGTTGAATTATAAAATTCTCCTAATATATCTCAGAAGATTTCTGCTAAAAAACGATTAATTAAAAAAACCCAAACAGTTAAACTTTTACAGGTGCACATATGAAATGCTGTAAGGTTGCCCATTTTGTCCGAGATCATAAAAAATACCTGACACAAGCAACAGGACTAGCCTACTTTGCTGTTCCACCTGTACACTCTTGCTTCTTCAACTTGCTTAATGTACTTGACGAATCTATTATTTAAAAGCAAAAACTTCTTTGGGCCACACATTCCTCAGTCACATATATCCAGCTTCAATTACAGAGCGCTAGATATGTGTGCACACACACAGTATCTGGAGCAATTTGGAAAAAACAGATCACTTAGAAAAAAACATTCTACCATTTCTCCATGGAAGTGGGAAACAAAACCCCTCTTCTACTACGTGTTCATGCACATAGTGATGAGTTAAAGTTTAGCACTGTTGAACTTTTAAAGTTACACAGTACCTTTATCTCTGGAATCAGCAAGAAGATCATCTGTAGAACACGGGCTTTCTTCACTACCTTCATTAGAGATGGTAAGAAATGAGGTTGGAGATACTGACTGGGAGCGGCTGCTGTTGTTACTACCCCTGTCTGCTCCACCAGGTGTTTGGGTATCAATGCTGCGAGTACTACTACTACGCTGAACCAATGGAGGTGGTGCGCGGTGCCCATCTGGAATATCTTGAGGCTGTTAAAAATAAAAGGTATCAGATGGCTGCTCTTGTCTGGTTAGCAATTTCTTTAAATCCAGTAATGCTGAGAGACTTTTTGGGTTTCATAAAACTGTTTGAAGTAGAAAATTTTATTCACAGAAGACTCCAACAGAAAATAAAATAAGTCAGGTTCGGAAATGAAGGACAACAGTTTTCAAGATTTCACAGAATCACAGACTTGCTGAGGTTGGAAGGGACCTCTTGAGATCATCTAGTCCAACACCCTTGCTCAAGGAGAGTCAGCTAGAGCAGTCTGTCCAGACTTGACTGTGTCCATTCAAGTTTTGGGAAAAAAAAAAAAAGAGAGAGAGAGAAAATAGACAGGCGTTTTATTTATACACATTGATAAGATCCCCCTGAGCTTTCTCTTTTCAAGGCTGAACAGTCCCAGCTCTCTCAGCCTCTCCTCATATGAAAGATGTTCCAGTCCCTTAATCATCTTTGTGGCCTGTATTTCTGATACTTTATTACTAAATTTACCTCTAAACATACCTAAAAATAAAATGAAAGTTAAAAATGGGCAAGTTATGCTTCAGCTGGGGTGGGGACAGTTCAGCATGGGCAAAGAGAAGTTACTACAAAAACTCTCAAAACAGACCTTTCATCTTTTCCCCTGTTTTACTGAGATTTCTTTATTGGAAAACTAATTACATCACAAGAATCACGAAAAGTTCAGATTCAAGCCTTAACTCCTTCCTTTTTTTTTTTTTTGTTTTTGTGCTTTCCTTGAGAATTTTCAACTACCTTTATTAAAGAAAGCAAAATTAATTCCAGACAAATTTAATTCAAAAACTGTGCAAAATAAGGCTTATGATTTAAAAACCTCAAAGCAAAACCAAAACAATTATAGAAAGCAATCACGGTGGCAGATACATACAACAAGCTGTTCCTCTTTGTCTCCTGTCTCCTTAATTATTATCTCAATCTCCTGATTCAGTCCTTCTACACTGTTTCGAAATCGTGATCCTGTTGATTTGGTGATAGGTATCACAGGAACAAGAGCACTCTTTGGGATGGGAGCCTGAAGAACCAGAGACAGTGAGAAAGCAATGTGGATTTACTTACAAAACACAGTTACTATTTCTACTCAAAAGTGAGCCTTTAAACAGAACACATCTCCATCTCAATATCAAGGATTTACATAAAACTATAGCAAATGTGTTAAAATGGATGCCTTAAATGAAGACACAGACATCCCGAGTTTTGTTTCAAATCTAATTTCTAGCAGGAAAAGCTTTCAACAATCCAGTCTCAAAATTTCCCTTGATATGGTCTGCCTCCAGCTCAACGTTGCTTTACAAGTGAAAATTTAACAGTAAACATTTAAACGTAAGTAATTTTGAAGCCTTTAAAATATATTCACATTCCTTCTGAAGTGAGCTGTACCACAATTTCACCTCCTTCACTGTTGGATTTACCACGTGTAATTTCATTAAAATTGTATTTTAATGGAAGTCTGCTGTCGCCTACAGTAACATGACACATGCAGAAGGAAAATTATTCCACAAATGCAAGATTGCACTATGAAGACCAACATAGTAACTACATGAAGCCAGAATAAAAGGTTGACAAGGCAATTTAGGAAGACTTCCACAGAAAGAATAAAATCCCAAACCCGAATGTTAATACATAGTTGCTTCAGAATGAAGATTAACATTTTAAAAATCTAGTGTTTCAAAGCATGCATGAAAACTCCATTCTCAGAAAACATGTCACTGAAGTTTTCCAAAGCCCCTTTTGGTACACCACAACTTCGAGATTTCCCATCCTCTCCATTACCATCCTCCTCCCTTTAAAAAAAAAAAATCATGCTACCAGAACATAAGAAGATTCTGCCCTAAACTTCAACACAGACTCTTGGTGATTATGCAGGGTACTACTACAGATAATGGAGTGCTTGCTGAAAACATTTAGTTCAACTTAAAGAACAGCGTGACACTTAAAGTCACAGCAGAATTCCAAGACTCTGTGACCTAGTATGCTGTGATTGAGAACACCGCCTCTACTGACTGAAGAACAGTAGCATTCTCACCTGGTCTTCAAAGTGGTTTGTTTGTGGTTTTTTTAATTTTTCCTCTAAATAACAAGACTGGGCATAGACGCAAAATTTGTCTGGCAGAAAAACTACCTTAGAAAAATTAATGTAAACAAGAGAATTCTAAGTACAGATCATAATGCAGACTTACTCTCACAATCACAAATCCCTAAGGCAGCAAAACTTAAGAATTATATTCAGTTTGCTTTACTGAAACTTTAGGATAGCTATTAAAAAAAGAAAAAAAAAAAAGAGACTTGCACAAGGACTGCAAAAGCTTCTGTTCAGGAAATGCTTGCAACTCTGTTTATGTCAACAAAAACTAAACATTCTCATAATGGCCAAACTTGGAAAGACTTTGAAAAGTCTTGCCTGAAGATGAAAAAGAGAAAACAGAAACCACTGGAGAAGAGCACAAAAAAAATCTGAGAAAGCAACCCTGCTAATTCTGTTCCAAACAAGGTCTTGGATCAACAGTCTAGTAAACTAATACAGGTCAACAGCCAGTCATAATACAGGTATATCAGCACAAATTTAGGCACTAATAAAGACAGTTTATGCACCCAGTTATTAAATATACACATTCTTAGGACAAACTGAACTTGTTAAAAAGTAGAAAGCAGAACACAAGTATGTTTGTCTAAAATTTCAGCAGCCATTAGCAAAACGTGGGAATTCTCCATCTTTCAAACATTATTGCCTGCCACAGAAATTCTTAGAAACACAGTACTATTTGAAGAGTTTAAAGTAGAAAAGCACATGTTGCTCCAATAGAGCTCATTATGGTTTGATACAGCACGTTTGACTTCCAAAAGAAATAATACTCTGTACATGACTGAGGATGACTTGTTAACCCAGAGTGCTGGAGGGTGGAAAGGGAGGGAGGTACCATTATAGGGGTGGAACAACCAGCCTCAAAACAAGAAACTTCATATTAGAAATACTGCCTTCACAGAGGTCTGCATGGAGCTGGCCCCTGACATACAGGAAGAGGCTATCAACCTTTGACTACTCATCGGCACAGAATGCACAAAATGAAGCAAGATGTCAAACACAGGATAATAATTAGAGTGCTCACATAATAACACACTGTCAGGAAGTTTTGGTGCGGTACAGTTAGAGTCCTGAAACTTACAGGTATGGCGTAAACTCATGAGATATGAAATATGGGTGATGACAAATCTAAACTGTTCACAGGCATTTTAGAAAAATGCTTTAAGCTCTTCCAATTTTTCAACAAGCAACAGAACTTTAAATAGAATCCAAGGTCTTTTGACACTTTCAGATATTAACATCAAACCATCAAGGTCGAATGCATCATGGTAATTCCACTCTAAAAATGAAATATTCTACCTATGTAAGGTGGCAGGAGTGACACAGAAAAACCCCCCAAACGCTGCAAACTGCATGCAGTTGGTCTCAATATTAGCGGCTGCTTAGGATCACTCAATTGGTAAGACATTAAGGACACATGCTTCCCAGGAAAGTGAAAGGAGGGGGCTTGATGGTTCATAGTGTCAAGCAGCAGCATAACATTAGCCAAGTGCACTGAGGAAAAAGGATTATTTTGAAAGACCTAATCATTTATTCTTCCATCCGGCTTCAGCTCTGGCCTCAATTCTAGTTTCTCCATTACATTAACACTGAGAATGAAGGAAGATCCCATTGGTTTGACTCCTGTTTACAGATTTAGTACCACACAATTAATTCAAAATCCAATGTTCTCAGAAGCATCCTGAGATCACCTGAGGCGGCTATGACCTTTCTGCAAACCCCTCTTCTGTAAAGAGGGTCAGAATGGAATATTCCTGGCATCAAGAAACAAACAAAACCCATTCAATTGCTCTGGAAAAAAAACGTAGTCAGCAGCACAGACTTGATCAACTTGATCCTCACCAACTATTTCCTGATTCTGAGCAGAGGGACAGGAATAGCTAACAAGCTTATTCCATAGAGATTGTGTGAATTTCTTTCTTCAAACAAAAATCACTGAAGAAAGAAGCACAACTAAACAATCAGTTGGAGGCTTAGGTGGCAAGAACCACGGTAAAAATTTTGGTAAAACTCAAGAATTGTGGCAAAGCTTAAGTGATTATTAGTAGGGAAGAAAAGAGGAAATAAATCCACTGGAATTGCTTCCTTTAGTTTTAACTAGAAGAGTAAGCCATTTCTAAAACACTAAACAGAGTTTACCTGGTCTCTGTGAAGGGACTACCAAGGCAATTTCCTAACACATTTTCTCGGCCTTGTCAGGAATCCAACTCCTTGAGCTCAGAAATCTTTGTATGACCCTCTAGCATCAACAACTGCAAGTTTCCTTCAAGTTGGAAAATGTAAAAAAGTTTCTAAATATTCTAATCACTAACTGCAAGTGCTTCCACACAGTCCTTCCCACAAATCCTGAAGGAACTGAGCTGCTGCCAGAAATTCTAGTTTAGCAGTTCCCTAGAAAGGAATGAGAAAGCCTGGGAACTTTGCCCTTGATGCCTACAGTTGCAGATGTTCACTCTGACTTTGAGAGCAGCCTCTAAATGCCATTAATCTAAACCCTTCACTTACTCTTTTTGAAGCCTTCTGTAACTTCCCCCCCTTCACAAGTAGCTCAACACAGCTGGCACAAAATTTACCAAGAAAAACAATGGTTTGTTTTGTAACACAATGCTGGAAAAGCTGCTTTGCCTCAGTTCATATTTTATAGCCTGTTTCACAAGCCGAAAAACTAATTATCGGTTGTGCAATATTTTATTCATTTGGTAGAATGCAAAAGACCTCCATACAAGAAGCAAAATTTCATGAGCATAATAATAAAGTAATTATGATGCAAAAAAAAAAAAAGGTATATACATAATTT